TAATGAGCCTGGGAAAGCAGTGGAAAATGGCCCAAGTGCCTAGGTCCTACACTCACATGAGACTTGCATGAAATTCCTATTTCCTGGCTTCTGCAAGGACAATAGCAATCACTTAGGAAGCGAACCATGGGAGATTTTTCTGTCTCTCCATCTAACTCTATCTTTCAAACAAATAATTCTTCTTAAAAATGTGTCGGTTCCAGCGGCGTGGCCTAGCGGCTGAGATCCTAGCCTTGAATGTGCAGATATCCCATATGGGTGCCAGTTCTAATCCTGGCAGCTCCACTTCCCACCCAGCTCCCTATTTGTGGCCTGGGAATGCAGTCGAGGACAGCCCAAAGCCTTGGAACCCTGCACCCATGTGGGAGACCCGGAAAAGATTCCTGGTTTCTGGCTTCGGATCAGTGCAGCACCGGACGTTGTGGTCACTTGGGGAGTGAATCATCGGACAGAAGATCTTCCTCTCTGTCTCTCCTCCTCTTTGTCTATCTGACTTTGCAATAAAAAATAAATAAATCTTTTTTTTAAAAAAAGTGTCTTTACATATTTTTCCAAAAAATAATCAGGAGGCAACAATGTGACATGAAAGATCCAGCCAACACCAGCATCCCATATTGAAGTACTGGCTCAAGTCGCAGGTGCTCCACTTCTGATGCAGCTCCTGCTAATAAGCCTGGGAAAAACAGTGAAGTGTTTAGGTCTCTGCCACCCACATGGGACACCCAGACAAGGGTTCCCGATTCCTGACTTCCACTTGACCCACTTAGCCATTACAGCCGTTTATAAAGTGAACCGACGAATGGTTCTTTTCCTAGTCCCTCCCTCTGTCACTCTGCCTTTCAGAGGAAAGAAAAATTAGTAAAAACTATTTTAAAATAAGCAGTGTGGCTGAGGTCCAGCTACTCTGCTTGATTCAGTTTCCTGCTAAGAAGCCTGTGTGGCAGCAGATAATACTCAAATATTTGAGTCCTCATCACTCAGTTCTCCCTCCCAATGGAGTTCATGGCTACTTATTTTAACCTAGCCCAGATGAGGAGTTGTGGAATAAACTAGTAGACAAAGGATCTCTTTTTCTTCCTTCCTCCCTTTACCACTCTGCCTTCAAATTAATAAATCTTAAACAAAAAGAGAAAAATCAAGGAGGGGCTAGCACTTTGTGTAGCATTAAAAACAGGCTTAGGATTCCTGCATTTTATTACAAAATCTGCCTGACCTGAGGTCCCAGCGCTGCCCAATGTCCCACTACTGTACAGGTACACACCTGGAGGCAAGTGTGTGCCAGCTCATAGCTTCCACAGGCCCAGCCCTCACTACTGCAGACATTTGGCGAAGCAAACAGCACACAGATCTCAGCAACTCAAACTCTGCCTTTCAAGAAAATATTTTTAATGCAACAATAAAATAATGATTAGCTCAGGCATGATGCAATGACTCAATGGCTAAGTCCTCATCTTGCAAACATCAGGATCCCATTTGGGCACCAGCTGCTCCATTTCTCATCCAGCTCCCTGTTGTTGGCCTGGAAAGTAGCAGAGGATGGCTGCTACCTTGGGACCCTGGAACCTGTGTGGGAGACCCAGAACTTGTTGCTGGATTTGGATTTGCTCAGCTCCAGCCACTACAGCCACTTGGAGAGTAAATCAGCAGATGGAAGATGTTTTTGCAACTCTTTCTCTCTGTGTATCTGCCTTTCCTATTATATATATATCTCATACATATATACATATAAAATAAAATTGCTAGGCTAGACACTAGTATCTTAGACAAACTCTTCTGTTTGTAGAAACGGGGGAAAAAGAAGCTTTAATTTACTAACCAACACATTTTTAAAATGCAATCATTTGTGGCACAGTAGATTAAGCTGTCAGTTAGGACACCAAGTTTCCCTTCACAGAATGCCTGGTTCAAGTTCTAGCTACTCTTTGATTTCCAGCTTCCTGCTAAGGCGCCTAGGAGGCAGTAGTAAGGGCCCAGGAGCCAGAGGTTCCTGTCACCTGCAAGGGAGATCCAGATGGGGTTCTCATTTCTGGCTTCAGCCTATCATAACTCCAGATGTTGAGAGTTATCTGGAATGAACAGCATCCCTGTCACTCAGCCTTTCAGATAAACAAATCTCTCTTTTTGAGTCCTTTACAAGGCATACACTATATAAAAGGGCACTTTAAAAAAACTCATGGAAAATAAAAGAATGTTTTCCACATGCATGCATATACAAACAGATCTCAATCACAAAGCACAACACTTTTGAAACACTGTTTAAATGGAAAACAGAACAGAACTAAAATCAGATGAGACCCCATAAGTACCAGTTTTTTGGTCTCAATTCTTGCACTGGCCCATATACTTTTCCTCAAGCAAAACATTAACAAGTCTATCTACAGTGCTTTAAATGTGTTGACTGACTTAGGTTTATCTCAAGAATGTGAAGCACTATCCAGGTCCCGCCTGCGTATGATTATATCAGCAGAATCAAATCTTAGGAGCATGTTACTCCTGAAGATCTTAAACATCATTTCTCCTTTCCAGAATCCTCTCCAGTTTCATTGCAAATTCCTGCCCAGGCACTAGTTTTGGATGGCCTTTCAAATGTCAAAACCAACTCTGAATGTAACTCTAAGACCCCTTTTAGAAGGCTTACACTGATGTCCCATAGTACTTGAAAGCAAATTCTGCTATGACCGAAAAGCCCTTTCTTTAGCACCAAAATATCCCAAAAATGCCTGCATCCAGCACAAGAACCTTCTACCCCCAGACCAGAGCAGTCTACCTTAAACAGGGATCTGAACACGCACCTATGTGACTCGGCACAGCCACCCACTAAATCCAGTGCCTTCCAGGGTGACAAACTGATCTCTTTTCTACTCTCTAAATTATTCAAAATCAGCCTACAAAGAATTACTGTCGACGGCTTCAACAAACTTCCCAGACCTGCATGCCATGTTCTATATTTATGACACTGGAAACCTGTGATTCCTCCCTCTCTTCGTAAGAAATACTGCAGGGGACGAGGGGGGGGGGGAGGGGGTTCAAAAGTTATGTTTGTTAGAAAAAAAAAACTTTAACTGTCAAGACATAAGTCGCCTGCGACAGCATGACTACATGTTGTGACAGTGATTAAACTTCACGGAATAGCCAAAACTCAAATATTCTTTGGTTTACAATCTTTAAAATTGGACAACTTCATCATCATACTTTTTTTGAAAATAACCTACCTTTGCTGTCCTACCATTCTCAATGTTTAACATAAATTTACCCAAAGCTTGAAAAACCTGGTAAAATTTTCAAGTCTATAACATGCCCATAGCATTAAATCCCAAAAGCAGAAATCAACAGCAGATGCTATTACAATGTACAATGTATACTTTATTACAGTTCCTGAGTTTCCAAACTCATCAGTAGCTTAATTAAAAAAAAAGTGCTCAAACATAATGACTCAAGTTTTTCAAACTGTATTTTATAAAGATTAATTGTGATTTTCTGGTTTGTGGGTCATAATTACTTTTTAAACTGACCCATTACACTTGAAAATAATGTGTGAAATTACCAAGGAAAAGGAGTCAGCCACTTAGAGAGACAGCATTAAACATTTTTAAGGGCATGGAAATAAAAGGTGTGTACCTTGCAGAGGAGAACAGAATTCAAATATACAGTAAGCTTCAGTGAAAACAAAACACAGCCATATCAAATATATATAAAAAAAAATGGGAACATGGTCAACCTTGATAGAAATAAAAAGTTTAAAATGGAAAGTACACCGATTAAGAAAAAATTCCAATGACATGACATTTTCTTGCCAGGGAGGAATTTTGCAGATTATATCATTCAAATCTCATTGTATTACATTATAAAGGTCTTGGCTATGGTTGGCCATTAATCTTTAACACAAAGGAGATTCAAATCCAAAGGAACTGTAAGACTATCCAGGACAGAGAAATAAGAATAATTTACTTTATTCACAATTGTTTAACCTAAAAGGCAGGCCCTTAAGGATGATAACGCAGAATGGGATTAGCTGGGAGTCTACCAAGTCCCATTTCTCAGGAAGTCTTGCACCAACCCCAGAAGAGAAGCAGGGTATGGACACAAAACAGGCTTAGGAAAGGCTGAGAGAAAAAAAATGCAATGACACACCACATCTTGGTTTATTCTTCTCGGCTAGAGAAACGAAAAATACCATACCATATGTTTCACCGTGCCAATTTTAACAAATATTTTATGAATGTACATTCAATTCTTTCCTTGGGGGCTAAAAAAAATCCGCTTGTTTTATTGATTACAGAGCAAAGGGGAAAGCAGCTGGTGCAATGCAACACAGGCAGCCGGAGATCGGGGAGGAAGGATTTTCCAAACAAATCTCTCCCCGCCCCCACTTCTACACACCAAACAACTTACTTATCCTAGCCTTTTACTGCGCCCCCCCCCCAAACCTAATAATTCCTCCCTTCCCCCACAGTCGTGAAATTTTCACCTTGCCCAGGTCCTTCACCCACACCTACCACGGACACTATTACACACAAAGATTTCAACCCTTTCAAACTTTTCTGCCTTTTTTCAATTAAACACAAGAGTTTCGCACCAAAAGTGCATGAAATTTTACCAATACACCGAAAAAAAAAATACCTGTTTCCCAGCAACATGCACGTTTAAATTTCGATTTTCGACTCCCTCCCCATCTCTGGGGTTTGGTTTGCAAAGACTGAGGGGGGGGGAAGGAGTCAGGCGCAAATTAAATTTAGGATGGGAAATCCTGGGTGAAAGAGCATGGGGGGGGAGGGAATAGAGCACGACGGAGCTAGACCGAGCCCCCCCCCCCAAAAGCAGGAGTGTTGGAGAAGGTTCGACGAAAGAAAGAGAAATTAGAAGGGACAAAAGAGAGAGAGGGAGAGAGCGTACAACAGGAGACGCGCAGACAGGGAGTGGAAGGCGGGGTCCCTGGAAAGCGGGGGGTCGCGGTTCCGCGGCACAAAGGCCGGCTCGGCCCCCCGCCCCGCGCCCCTCACCTCATGGTGCCGGCGGCGCCGAGGCTTCCCCAGCAGCCGGGAGACGCGGGAGGCGCTAGTCGAAAGGGTCTCTCCTCCAGGGGCGGGGACGCAGCTCCGAGCCGCGAGACAAGTGTCCGTCTCCTCCTTCGGCGGCAGGGGAGCTACACCATGTCCTCGCACAAAGCCGAGGCGCCGGCCCGGGAGTGTGAGAGAAGCGGGCAGGAGCAAGGCTGGGGAGGGGGCGGAGAGGCCGAGGCGCGGAGCGGGTCCCCCCGGCGGCGACCGCCGCCTCCCACCGCCTCCTCCTCGTCTTCGTCCTCCTCCTCCTCCTCCCGGAGCTCCCTCGGCCGCCCGCGGAGGAGTGCCCGCCGGGGCCGCGCGCCCGGCCGCCGCTCCACAGGCCCGCGCCCGCCGCGCCCGCCGCGCCCGCCGCCGAGGCCGCTGTGTGTGCCACCGGCAGCTGCTGCAGGCGCGGGAGGAGAGTCGGGAGCGGCGCGCGGAGCCCGGGAGGAGGCGGGGCGCGCGGCGGAGGAACACGCAGGCGCCGCCCTCCTCCCCTCCTTCCCCGGGGGCGAGGGGGCGGTGCGGGGGGAGGGGCGCACCCCCGCGCCGGCGGCCGGGCCCCCGCCGGACTGCGGAGAGCCGCGAGGGGCGGCCGGGCCCAGGCTCTTTGTGCTTTCCCCACCCCGCCCCCTGCGGCCCCTGGGACGCCGGGCGCCCCGTCCTCCCCGTCAGCCCGCCGGCGGACGGCGGGGGTTCCTCGCCGCGGGGCCGTCCTTGGCCATCGGTCCTCCCCACCACCACCCGCTGCGGGTACACTCCCCCTACGGCCCGAGGCTGAGGGGAGCTCCGGGGGGCCTGGCCTGCAGGATGTGGGGTTCAGGGGAGGGACTGAGAGAGCCGGACCTGCCGGGCTCCCCGCGGGCAGCGTCCTGAGGAGCGAGGATGCGTGACTGGGCTCCCAGGGCTTGTCCTCAGCTCGCCCTGTTGCTGTCTCAGGAAAGGGACGCGAGGGACTGGGTGGCCATCGCGGCCGTCAGGAATGCCTGCGGGATTTGGGGGGCGGCGGGGGGGGAGGGAGCGGCCTGGGAGATGTAGAATGGATCAGCATTGTTTGCTTCGCTCCTTTTCTTGCCGAGGAATCCCAGCGCGCCGAGCCGCTGTAACGAGCTGATACGCACGCTAAGTATAGGGATGACTTCATCCCGGAGCGAACGCGGCCGGCTCGCGGGGAACGCGGGCGCTGGGAGCCGCGCGGGACCGTGTGCGCCAGCGGTGGAAGGGGAGAGGCGCGGCGGGCGCCACCGCTTTCCCGACGTCGTCACCGGCAGAAAGGGAATCCCGGGCGGGGGCGGGGAGCGAGATGAACTAATGATAGTTTCCATTTTCCGTGGTTCGTGCCGCCTGGAAATCGCCTCCTTTGAAAGGCTGACTCGTTTAAGGTGTGCGGGGGGATACATCTGGGGAGCCAGAATTTGTAATAGTGGGAGTTTGGTTGGGGCAGGGTGTCCCGAAACAAATCCGCCGAATAACATTTTTAAGCTGGACATATTAGTTCCGAGGAAGGAGATGTATTTTTCTCTGCGCGAGATGACTAGTATAGGAAAGGTCGATTGTTAACAGGGTTCCTATTCCTGAAGAATCTAATCCAAAATGGAGGACCTACCATGACTCCCAGAATGCCTTCGAAAGTTCTGGTGCTTTTCCTTTAGGCGTGGGCGTCAATCAGATGGTGGTGGTGTGGGGTAGAATAGCGTCCACTCGTAAACGCAAAGCCCACAGGTCGCAGGCCTCCTCGGTGGAAACCTGACTTTGTAATAGAATGGTATAGCCCAGTATTAACTACAAAGTCCTTCCTGCCTCAGACCAACCGGCCCTGTCAGAAGCAGTGGCCTGGAGCTGCGGCCCAGGATCAGGGTGGCCTCAGGTAAATAAAAAGCACCGCACCTCTCTGCCTTAAACATGGTGTACTTGCAGAACGCTAATTTTCCACCCACGTATCTAATTACAATTTACTATCACAGCATGTGTTCAAGGATCTCCAAGCACTGGCAAGACAACACGGTTGCCACTCAAATGCCCTTGTTGCCACATTACAAGTAGAAACAGGGAAATGGCTTAAGGAACTGAGGTAAGACTATAAACATGATGAAAAAGCCCAGCTCCTAGGACATCCACTTACTAGCAGTTACTGCATTTTAAAATACTTGCTCCTCCAGAATTTTTCTCCAAACCAAGCAAAGAACATTTTCTTGGAAAAAAAAAAAACATGAAGACATATTGAATCAGCTTGGAAAAGTATTAGTAAGATGTGTTCAGCCACAAAGAAGTCACACCAATTTGCCTTAGACCATTCATGGCAATACAGTAAATCCAACAGAGCTTATGTTTCAGGGAAAACTCTTAACAAAGGGCCAAAAGGGGAGGAGATAGTGCTGTAATGACTCAAGCTGTCTCCTGCCAGAGACAAGAAACAAGGATAAAAATTCCTTACGGATGACTCCATAACCTACTTCTCATTTGTAAGAGTTAAGCCATCCTGTGTGAAATAAGTAATATATCACATCATCTTTATCCTAACAGCAAATGTTCCAATGCTATGGGTACCAAATTAAGCAATCCAAGTGGAAAATGCTGTCCTTATTTTCTATGTTTATTAAAAATGTACCAGCCAAGAATGTTGGCTGCCTACGACCATTTCCGTCCCTTTGAATGGCAGTCGGCCAGCTCACAAGTTGGTCATACTATTGCCTCTGGATTTAGATAAGCCAATGGGTGGCCTGACCTCTAAAGGTCGCGCTGTAGAAGGGCAGTTTGTTGGCTGTGGCAAAATGTTATTGCTTTCTTGCTCATATTTGGCTTAACATTCAAAGAGGGCAGAATGGAAACTTGAGCTTGGAAATCACAGACTAATTCTAGTCACAAAAGAAGCTTTTGTGGAATGTGTTACCATATAGAATAAAAGAATTTTAGAGATGGAAAAAATCTTAAATCCAACCCACTCGTTTTTCAAAAAAAGGAATGTGAGGCCCAGAAAGGTTAAGTAACTTGACCATAGTCCCTTAGTGGTAGAACAGGAATTTAAACTCAGGATTCCCGATTGTTGGTCCACTGGGCCTTCTGACATGTCAGACTGATGTCCTATGGTGTAAATAGCTAAGAGAGGATGGATTAAGGCAGTAAAATCTGAAGTTAATTGAAACCATGCTCAAACGCCAAGATTGTGTTAGTTGACTGAATGGTGAAAATCAATTGAATTCTTTCAAAAGGGCTGTTCAAAGTTTGGCCTATCAAGCTAAATATTTGAAAAGTGATTTGATGGATAAATAAATGAATGGGAACAGACATGTTGGTACAGTGGATTTAGCCATGCTTTGGATGCCAGCATCCCATGTACCAGCGCAGGTTCCAGTCCTAGCTGCTCTGCTTCCAATCCCAGTTTCCTGCTAACAGGCTTGGGAGGGCAGCAGAAGCATGTCCAAGTACTAGGGCCCTTGCTACCCATGTGGAGACCAAGGTATAGTGGCAGAGTCCTGCTGACTCTGACCTGGCCTAGCCCTGGCTGCTGCAGCCACTTCGAGTATGAACCAGCAGCTAGAAGATCTCTGTGTGTCCCTTCCTTCCTTCCTCTCTGGCTTTCAAATAAGTAACTGCTTTTTTTAAATGAATGAATGAGTGAACAAATGAATGAAGACATACACTTTCTTTTTACTTTTTAAAATGTGTTTATTTGAAAGACAGAGACCTAGAGAGAGGGGGGAGTGAGTTTCCCATCCACTGATTCACTCATCAGGTGACAGCAACATCCAAAGACAGACTAGGCCAAAGCTATAATCCAGGAATTCCACTTGGGTCTGCCACATGAGTCACAGGAGCCCAAGTACTTGGTCATCTTCCACTGCTCTCCTAGGCACATGAGCAGGAAACTGGATTGAAGCAGAACAGCTGAGACACAAATCAACAAGCAACAAAGCATGGGGCTTAAACTACCACACCACACCTACTCTTATCCTTCTATCACTAGGTATGTTGACCTCAGCTTCTCCTCTCAGAAACTGTTCACTCCAGTTTCACACCAGTAGAATACCAGCATGCTCCAAGCCCCAGTAGAACACAGCTTTCCTAAGTAATTGTTAGGCTGTGCACTCATATGGAAACTGAAGGGAAGCGTGCATGTGTTGGAGCTGGGTTTGCTGCGGGAGTGTTGTCAGTCTGCCTATGAGAGCTCTGGGAATTTGTCTTGTTTAAATTTGTCTGATAGCATCAGTGTAGGCTTGTCCTCCATTTATGGGCATGAGGAGGGTGCATGACTAATGCTACTCGCAGTCAGGATATCAATGGTGAGGACTGGAGGCTCAGTCTCCCTCAACAACACCCGCCCCCCCCCCAAAAAAAAAACCAGTTCTCCCTGGGCCCCTCACGACTTCCTAGGGGTGAGGAAGAGAAAGGCAATTTAGAGTGACCTTGAGTTTATACTTTGTGCCTGTATATGACTCTACTGTGTTTTCTTTTGTGGCAGTTAGTTCACAGTGTAATTTTTGTTTATCTCCCCAAGAAAGAAAAATGATGTAGAACATGATATTCCAGTAGGATTGAAGAACATTTTCTTACTTGTCTTTTAGCTTTAGCTGTCCATGTATAATCTCAGCTCCAAAATATTGTCAAGAGATAGTAGAGGAAACTATTCCCCTCCCTGTCATTTGCATCTTTCTCCCGTTTGTCACTTTTCTCCTTCCAGATTAGGATTTACTCAGTTAATTTTGTATCTTCTTCCCCAGAACCTCTTTTTGTCCCCTAGCTGAACAGTGTTGATGTGTGGTAGAAAATTCTCACTGCCTGGATGGTCCTGGATTAACATGAATTGGGGAAAAGACATTGCATTTTTTCTACAGAATAACATCAGTCACACCTGCCAGATAAAGAATATACCAGCAGGCTCCATTTCTAGGTAACAGTCAATCATGGTGGTCTAGAAATTCGTATGGAAAATCACTATCTCCGTAATCTAATTTTGAATTCTTAC